GTTTGCTACCTAACAAAGTGTAACAGTGCACGGGGTGCTGGAACCTGACTTGCTCAGGGCTTGGTGGGCCCTGCACAGCTCAGGGGCTGTGGGGACCCAACAGTATCCTGTGCAGACAGGTTCCACTGAAATTAAAAAAAATAAAGGTAGTGAGCCTGATCTCTTCCCCCTGCCCGCTCCCTGGAGCCTGCCTGCCAGCACTGTGCCGGGGCATAGTGCTTCCCTCTGTGGGGGCCAGTGCTTCCCTCCACAGCTGCTGCGCCCCCCTGGACTGCCCGAGCTGGGTGCCAGCTGGTGGGTGCCGCTTGGAGAGTCCCCACACAGCTCAGGGACCACTTGGCCTGCCGGTAGCTCGCCTGTCTGTCCCCTTCCCCTCCAGCTGAAAAGGCAGGTAAGGATCAGGCCTCCAAGCCACGGGGGTTGAGTTTGGTTTAGATATCTGTTTTCATAAGAATATATTTAAACCACTGTGTATGTTTCATTAAAGCAAGTGTTTCTATTTTATAAACACTAAAAGATGAGGAATGGCACGTGAATGTACTATGGTTGGTAGACATGGCAATCTGATTTTACCACTGTCTCAGATATCAGTCCCTATAGGGGAACTTGGGTACCCTCTCTGAGAGGTGAGTTAGCAGTACAGCTCAATATTGCCCTTTGGCGCTAACACCAGTGCCAGTTGTAAATTTGACAATGGACAGTTCTGAAAACAGATTACTGATACTCATCAGACCCCAGACATACTTCTTTTTTTGCGCTCACGTTAATTGCCCCCCAGGGTTCAGAGGTGTTCAGGAAGCTTGTATGTCTGGAGATAAAAGCTTTTCAGTTGAACTGATAACTTATCTCTAAAAGTAATCTCAGCAAATTTTTTAAATAACACTTGCAATGATATTTCTGCACACACACAGATGCATACACAGAATCTAATGCATACATTTAACCCAAAGTTATCTTTCCTACCTTTACAGTATAACAGCTTAGTTTTTTATCTGAAATATAAGTCTTCAATTTTAAAGGTTGTTTGGTTTGTTGACATTGCAAAGTTTGTATGTTTAATGTTTCATATATGATTTGAAATGAAAGAATTAGTCTTTCTTAAGTCCCTGAACAAAACAATGATGCAAAAATGATGGTGGGTGGGTGCTTTTCTATTCTCCCTTTACCTCCTCCCCAGCAGGGTGAAGTAGGACTGTACGTAGGCATCTGAGGGGTGGAATAACATTTGACTCTGCTGAAGTCATTGAGATCTTAATGCTACACCAGGGAATCACTTTATAGGGTATAGGCTCCAGGTGTTCAGAGGTGCCTGATATAAGAGAGATTTAAAAGGGTTTAATATATTTTAGGAAAATTTGGCTCCTGTAGGAATAAGTTCCCAGTTACATAGCCCCAGGTGTGTGAAATGTTTGAATGAATGAGACAGTGAGGGAAGGAAAGGGGGAGTGTCATACTTCAAATGCCCTTATTGATGTCCCACCTTTTTTAAATTTTGTAAATGTTTGTGTTTGCTCATGGACATTTGTCTTGCAGCCAGTTGTGATCTTAACAGTAAGACTAGGCAGGATTACAATCCCAGACTAGCCTCCTTGCTGGTAGACTGCTGTGCTCCTGCATGGAGCCCCATTGACTTCAGTGGGACCCCTTGAAACTGATATGAGGTTCCACCTCAAAAAAAGAGTCTTTGCCTATTAGCTTTTTTCCTTGTGCTTTAGGTGCTGCAGCTTCCCTTAAGCTGTTGGTCAAATACAATACAATTTTGAAAAGAAACGAAAACTTTATGCAGCTGAAGCAGCCAAATGCTTTGCTATATTTTCGAACACAAATAGTTCTTGAGCATGACAGTTACCTGCTCCCTGAAGTCAGATGGTGGGGAGTGGGTGGTTGATTGTATACAAGTTTGTGTTACAATCTGCAGCTGTGCCCACCACTTTAGAGTAGCTGAATGTTTACAATGAATGACACTGAAATAGTGAATGTTGACACTTTTGCCTCTGGGCTTCAGAATCAAATGAGGAATACCTCATAATGCAAACAGCCCAAAACAATGCAGACACAGACAGATGTCAGTATGCAAAGATCATGGCTGGGGTGAGTTTTTGAGCCATAAGGGCTAAAAATGTAATGTTCCTATCAGAAGCTTAAATTCTATATAAACTGCTGGAACAGCCAGTAAAGTTCTGGCATGCAGCGGTGTTACCAAGTACCAAATCTCTGAAGCTACATTCAGTGAGAACCCCTGAAAAATAGGCATGCCAGCATTGGCCATAATCTCACACTCTGATTTTTCTGAAATGTTTCAGCAACTTGTAGAAACAGTATCATGTGGAGGAAATCTCCTGATGAATATTGGGCCAACTCATGATGGTTGCATTGTTGCAATATTCGAAGAACGTCTGAGGCAGATGGGTGCCTGGCTGAAGGTCAATGGAGAAGCCATTTATGGAACTAAACCATGGAGGGCTCAAAATGACACCTCCACACCGGGAGTCTGGTAAGGCTAGTGAAACAGAATGCAGAATATGAAGAAATCTTACGACAAATTGTTCAGTTTCTAGTGGAAAGCATTATGCGTAGGTACTGGCAGACGTTCATTAAATGGCACAATGGGATCTGATCCCCAGTCCTCACAACTGCACACCATGACATGTACATGGCAGGAGGTCTGGTTATTGCGTTGGGAAGTCAGAACCTGATCACATAATTGTCAGCCTAAAAAATGCATAGTTTTAAAAGCTCCCTGTGCAACAGGACTCCTGATACACTGAGTGGTCTAAAACCCATGTACGCAATCCAGTTGGGCTTCACATGCCAGTTTTAAAGGTCCTGGAAAACTAGAGAATCTCTCTCCAGTCATGGGTTCCTGGTGTGCTGGGAAGTCTAAAAATCATACATGCATTTTTTTAAAGGTCTTGGTCTTGGGAACCTTTCCCTGATCCTGGGGTCCGTGTGCACCGGGAGTTCTAAAACCTGCATGTGCAGCCCAAAAGGCATGGGGGGGATTTTACACATCAATTCCTGGTGCCAGGCAGAGCAGCCACAAAGATGCTTTACATTTTTTAGGGAATATCTTTGGCTGGTTTGCCACTTTGTGGTGTCATGAATGAGCTGAATATGTTGCACTATTTATGGTGCAGTTAACACACACATTGCACAATAAATGTAATATGTGCCAGGACACTGTAAGAAACCAGCTTATTTTGCCTGCAGCTTTCCTGTCCCAGAAAAGAACCCTTTTGGTGACCCTATGTAGTGCCCCAAGACCATAGTTTGTTCCAGTTGTCAGACATCTAAATGCAATTCTATCCCACCGTGTTCAGCTCCCTAAAAATCTTTCTCCTACTAGTATGTCTGTAACATCCCTTTATCATAGTCTTAAGAGTGATTTTTCAAAAAGTGTTGAACAGGAGGGGGATCCACAGACATTGTGTTAATGATTTTTCAGGGACTTGAGCAGGATGGAGTAAGCTTGTTATTTCATCATTTAGATACCTAATAAGTGGAATAGGACCTGGTCCTATTGTGGGTGTGTGTGGGGCGAAGGAGGTGGTACATGGTACTGCTCAGGAGAAAAATTCTGGGAGAAAAAGAGGGCATCTCATGTGAAATAGAAGCTAATGTATATCCTTGAGCTGAATGGGTATCCTTGAGCTTTTTGTGCTTCTCAGTCAGAGTAACCGAAGAACTAAAGCATAAAATTGCAGTTGCTGTAGCATATTGATCAATACAAAATAGCTGATAAGAAATAATAGGATGTCATGACATGAACCACCTTTTGAAAGAACAAGCTAAACAGAAACTAACAAAAAGTGTCCCAGAGAGGTTAATAGCAGGCCATAGCACACTTTACCTTGAATATGGTAGATAAATTACTTGATGAGATAATAGTTGTTTCATTCACAAGCCCAGCCCCTTTTTAATCTCTGGATCCTGCTCTGCTCCATGGTGGCTTCTGATTGGTTGTTGCTGTAATCTGCATTCATCTGCTAAAATCCAAAATAAAAACTGTGTAACGTGAAGAAGGAGGCTTTGTTCTATGCAAATAATTAAGAACAATATGTACAGTGTTATACACTTTCATGAACAATTCTTATTGAATTTGGATGAGCAAATTAATTGCTGCCAACTTTTCAAATTCTCTTGTCCAGTTCTGAAAACTCTGTGCATTTATTAGTTTCTTAAGAGTAATTGTAAGAAAAAATGGATGAAAATTTTATGACTCCCCATTTCCAACTAGGTATACATTTAAACCAAAAGGAGACATTGTGTATGCCATTTTCCTTAACTGGCCTGTCTCAGGGACTCTGATACTTGGTGAGCCAAAAACCACTCTTGGAGGAACACAGGTAAGCAACTATTTTTTCCTTTTGCTTTCTTTTTGCCACTTTAGTGAGGCATGTACTACACTGTCATTGAATAGAGAGAGGAATATAATCACAAGGTAGATTAGATCATACCTGAATAATGCATTGTCAGCATTGAATATGTTTGTTTTATAAAAAATACATATTTTTAATTGCATAGTTTGTTTGTTTTTTATTTTAAGAAGTACAAGAGCACTGACTCATATTCAGCAGTTGACCATAAGCTGAATACAAGCCAACAGTATGCTTCTGTTGCCAAAAAGCTAACATCATACCAAGTTGTATTAAAAGAAGCGTCTCACACAAATCAAGGGAAATGATTCTTCTGCTCTATTTGGCACTGGTGAGGCTTCACCTGGAAATACTATGTTGAGTTTTTGCATCCCATATTTCAAGAAGGGTAGGGACAGATATAATAGATTTCATAGACATAGAGTGGAAAGAGTCGATCAGAAACAAAAATGATTAGCAGTCTGGGAAGCATGACGTATGCTGAAAGAACTTGGGTTATTTAGTCTGGGAAAGAGAGAACTGAGGGAGGGTCCAGTAATGGTCTTCAAATACCTGAAGGGCAATTAGAGAGAGTAGAGAGATGGACTATTTTCTATGGCTTTACAGGACAGGACTAGGAACAATGGCATCAGGTCATGTAGGTGGAGGTTAGGAGGACATTTCTAGCTATGAGAGTAGTCAGGTATTGGAACAGGCTGAAGAAATTTTGGAATCATCATCCCTGGAAATTTTCAAGAGCAGGTTGCATGAACACTTGGCTGTGATGGTTTATCAGGAGTGATCCCATCTTGAGCAGAGAGCTGGACTAGATGACCTTTTGAGGTCCTTTTCAACCCTACTTTGCAATGATCCTATGACATCTGGCACATTTCGTAATACATATATAGAATAGTATATGTTGCAAGAAGACAGAGTTGTGTCATGCCCATTCATTTCCACTCTAGGCCTGTCCGTGCCAAACAGTCCTCACAGAAAGTTGCCTGGAACACTCCTTTTTTGTAATGTCCTCCACCAACTGATGCATCTGCTTGCATGAGGATAATAATGGGTTTTCTGTAGTTGTGGGCTCTCTCTTTGCTGTGAACTGAAGACCCTGAGCCTTAAAGCTGTTCTGATAATACATGATTTATTTGTCCACTGAGAGGAGTTGTACCTGAGGAACTGAATGGTCTAGTGTGCCCGAGAATTCTCTCCAGTCCTCCTCTTGAAGCAGTTGCACCTTGCATTTAACATGCATTGGGTACAATGGATAACCAGCACTGGAATATTTTTGGCCCTCTTGGGAGGCAGAGAACCAGCAAGAACCTAAGGTCCCTTCCCATCCAGGGCACTGTTCCATCTCATTGGGTCACCTCGTCACTGGTTTGTTCTCCTGGTTGCCTGTTGGGTGCTTCGGATAGTGACCAGCCCATACCCTTGAGGTTACAGATTCTTTCTGGAAGGAAATGTAGGTGTGAACCCTCTTTTGGTGAGGTGGTGTCTATAACTTGTGCCTCCCATTCCCTCGGCAACTGCCTTTACCACTAGGCTATTGGGCTAACAGATGGGAGAGTTACTGGCTCTCTCCTCTGCTTTCTTGTTTTTTTTGCAACTAAGGTTTTGGAATTTGCCTGGCATTATGCTACTGTCTGTGTCATTCTGTTTCACTTGGCCACCTATGCAGCCAGAGTGCAGCTTTCTGTACTACATACTTGCCTCACATAAACACATGAGGGTGAAACAGAATTATTTGTGTCCACTTGAGGGACTCTTGGAGACTGAAAGAGGTCTGTCTCCTAAGGAATGATAGCTGAATCACTTCATGTCATTCTTCCTACTGCTGGTGCTGCATCTACAGCTGGCTATAATGAAAGACGAGAGACTCATTAGCAACAAGGTGGCAGGAGCTGGCTCTTTTGTGGCAGGTAAAATAGCTTGCAGAAGTTCAGGCTGCTTTATCACCTGATTGTAAGTGGAGAGCCTACTCTTCCCTTAAAGTTAAGAAGTCCAGGAATCCTGTTCTTTGTGCTCCCCAGGCTGTGGGAATAGGTGTTCTCTGCCAGTGTTGAGGGAGAAATCTTTAAAAGCGAAGAAGAAAACAAAGCTAAAGTTCTTCTAGGAACCCAGTAACAATTGATGTTCCAGTGGGAGTTGTGGAGTCAAGCAAGTGTTGGGAGAGGTATCATACTTATGTAGTTAGGACACTTGAGCCGCATCCAGATGAGCACAGATGTTTGGTTCCCCAGGGACAAGTAGCAGCGGCACACCTTGTGCCATTGCTACTTGTCCCCAGGGAATGTCCATGCTATGCATGCTCTGGCACACAGCAAGTTACCCCAGGTGGGATAGGAGAGGCAGGGGCCAGCAACTGTGCTGGCCCCAGCAGCCTTCCCTGGGGTTCTGGGGGCCAGGGAAGCTGCAGCCATGGTGCTCCTGCAGGTGGGAGCCTGGCTAGCAGTTGGAGCATAGCTCCAGCTGGTCAGGCTCCAGTTTTGGGTGGTGCATGCTGCCGCCACATGCACCACACCCCACTTTTTTTCCACGCAGGTTTTTTTGACCCTGGGATATTCCAGGGTCAACCCCACCTCCCTGCGCTACAAGGTAGTAGTGTGGGGAATGCCTGAGTGTGCAGTGTGTGGCACCACAGACAGGTCTGCGGCACCACATACCAAACGGCCACTTTCATCTGGACGTGGCCTTGGTGTGTGAGACTGCTCCTCAGACAGGGATTGAACCCAGGTTTCTTACATATTGACTTATTGGGTGAACCTGATGCCTGCTCCCCAACGCTGTCTGTTAGAAAGATATGTAACTCCTTGCTCTGCTTTTGAAAGAAGCGATTTAGGAGGGTTCTAGGCTGTGAATGCCAATAAAGGGAGTTGCATACAGTTTAAGCTACATCACTGTCCTAGGCATTTCCTGTTTGGCTATCTTAGGCTACTCTTACTTAGCGTTGGTTTTTGTGGATCCCATTTTGAGATGTCTGATTCTCCTCATGTATTTTATTGAGGGTCTAGACAACTGTGGATTCCATGGCTGGGCGGGGAGGGGAGGCAGGGGCAGGCACCTAAAAATTGGGCACTGCGATGCCTAAATTCCTTTTCGGATCCAAATGTTTTATCCTAGTGGGATTTTTCCAAAGCACCTACCTGCATCTTTAAATGCCTAAACACCTTTTAAAAAGGTATGTGCTCTTGAATTTGAGCCTTTTATGCTGTGTAATAAAACTGTAAGTTGCACCAAGTTACTCGAAACCAGTGGTGCTCAACCTTTTGGCCCCGCAAGCCAGATGAATGGGGTGGGGCTGATCTGCGGGCTGGATTGAACCCCGTGAGCCAGAATTAGGCTTTGGGGCCCAACACCACCCCCTCCTGCCCCCGCAGACCAGGATCGGACCCCAAGAGCATGGCACCACCCCTCACCACCCCAAGTGCTAGGAGCCAATCTTGGGACCCAACACCGCTGCTCCTGTCCCCACACCAGGTTTGGGCCTGGGGGACTTGGTCCTGTCCCTTTCAACTCCAGAGCACTGGGATTGATTCCTGGGAGCCTGGTGCTGCCCCTTCCTGGTCACCTGTGTGCTGAGATTGGACTCCAGAGCATGGCAGAGCCCATCCCTTCCACTGCCTCTGAGCCCTGGGAACCAGATCCAATGCACAGGGCTTGGGGCCTAGTCTGAGACCCAAAGGCAGCATCGCAGGTTGGATAATAG